TATGGAAGCTGATGATGATAAATTACCCTCCGCACTTGCATCTGGCGCTCAGATCTTTGGAGAAACGGTCTCCTCTGAGCCCGCCGGTGTTAAATAAATCTCCAATCCACCAAGATCTCTGAGTGCCGCTTGGGTTTCCGCCAGCGTCCCAGCCTGGTCCCGTAACAAAATCAAGAGTTGGACGCTTAACTGACTGAGCCACCCAGGTGCCCCTCAACAAAGTATTCTCGGCACTGTTTCTATTCTGAATTTTCCAGACATGGGATCTGACAAATCTAGGGAAGATCATACCCTGCTCAGTTCGCAGCTGTAAACAAGGAGTTAGTCACCATTCCGGAAAATCTCTTCCTAGTGACCTGGGTCTCCACGGGAGCCATGAACCGTGCCATCTGGGTGGACTTCCCGGGGACAGTGCGTGTGACCCCGTTTATGTGGCCCTCATTTCTAGATGTCAAAGGTAATAAAACTTTAAGAAATGTCTGTTGAATATTTCTTCTCTTAAGTCCAAACTTATTCCTTATAAGTGAGTGTGAGAGTCAAAATAACTCACTTTGCCTTCTAGTGTGAGGACATATTAGTTCCTCATCACTTACGTCCCCTTTCCTTTTCTCGTTATATTCCTGTCAGGGCGTTATATTGATTTAACATCGTGTTTATAGATTAGATTATACCTATGCTTCAACTTCAAAATGGAAAAGCCGTCATTTAAACATTTGTTATAATATGGGTGCTCTTCTGGGGCCCCTGGGGGCTCATGTGGTCATGATCCCAGGGTTCGTGGGTTCAAGCACCATGACGGGCTCTGTGCTGGCAGTGTGGAGCCTGCTTGGGACTCTGTCTCTCTCTCTCTGTCCCTCCCCCCTCCCACTCTCTCTCTAAAATAAATAAAATGAAAAAAAAATTTAAACAAGGATTCTTTTCTTTTTTAAAAAAAACTTCAATGTTTTTTTAAAATCTATTCTTGAGAGAGAGAGGGAGAGAGAGAGAGAGAGAGAGCGCGCACGCACAAGCAGGGGAGGGGCAGAGAGAGAGAGGGAGACACAGAATCCAAAGCAGGCTCCAGGCTCCGAGCTGTCAGCACAGAGACCGACGTGGGGCTCAAACTCACAAACCGCCAGATCATGACCTGAGCTGAAGTCGGACACTTAACCGACGGAGCCCCCCAGGCGCCCCACAAGGATGCTTTTCTAAGCACTGTGGCCATAGCCTCTTCTCCCCACGTTCACCACAAGCTCTGAGATGATTAAAGCCAGATATTCTTTGAATCCTATTTTTTCCACCCACATAGCGAGTGGTTGTCCCCCCCCCCCGCCCCCGACGATCAGACC